AGTGGAAGATCACTCAGTGATTTGCAATAGATCAGGAAGCAATTTTAACCCCCAGGGTGTTGTTGGTTTTTTTGGCAATGACATCAAGTGCATTTTAACAAAAGAACAACAAATCCTTTTTTGCTGTAACTGGCATTATACAGGTAGTCCTTAACTTATGACCACAGTGGAGCCCAAAATATATGTTGCTAAATGAGAAATGTGTTAAGTTTTGCCCCATTTTACGACTTTTCTTGCCGCATGGGTTAAGTGAATCATAAAGTTGTTAAATTAATAACCCGGTGGTTAAGTGGATCTGGTTTCCCCATTGACTTTGCTTGTCAGAAGGTCGCAAAAGGAGATGCTATGACCCCTGGACATTGCAACTGTCATAAATGTGAGCCAGCTGATTTACATTTCCGAATGTAAATCATGTGACCATGGGGTTGCTGCAACGGTTATAAGTGTGGAAAATGGTCATAAGTCACTTTTTTCAGTGCTGTTGTAAGTCAAGGATTATCTGTAATCACTTATCTTTTTGCTCAGGTGTCAGTCATCTGTGAAATAGAAATATCAAATGCCTTTGCCCAAGTCATTATGTAACTCAACAACTCTCAGGCTGAGAGTTTTATGTACAAGTATAGATTTGTACACTAGTACCTCAGGTGAGTATTTTGGTTCACATCTCCAGAGTGTGACTCCTGAAATGCAAAGAATAACTGACTACTTAGCATCCCCCTATTTTTCACGGAGCTATGATGAGTGAGCAACACAGTGGCTCAACAGTTAAGATGCTGGGCTTAACACCTGGAAAGCCATCAGCCTGAGTTTGAGACCCGAGTGCCGTGCAACAGGGTGAGCTCCCGTCCTGGCCCCAGCTCCTGCCAACTCAACAGTTCGAAAGCATGCAAATGCAAGTAGGTAAATAGGTACACTTTGGTGGGAAGGCAACAGTAGTCTGTGATGTCATGCTGGCCACATGACCGCAGAAATGTATTTGAATAGCACAGATTCAATGCCCTTGAAATAGAGATGAACACCCCCCCCCTATGGTCAGTAAAAACTAGCAGAGTAAAATCCTCAGGGACTCCTTTACCTTTACTTTATGATGAGCGGGCTTCCCAATCCTAATAAAAAACAGATCCCAAGGGCACATGAATTTGCAAAGTCTTGGTCTTAAAGAGCCTGTAAACAGTTCGGGAAATTGTGGCCCTCTTGGGATAGTTAAATTACAACTTTGATTATCCCTTATCACTAGCTAGGCTGATTGGGGCCACGGTAATTGTATTGTAGCAGCACTTGATGGGTTATTATGTCCCCACCGATACTGATACTGTCTGATAAGAGATAAGACCAAAGGGGAGGGGAAAAGAACTGTGTTTTATGTCCTTTCCTTCATTTCCCCTATGTTCTTTTGGTTGAGTTTTCACTATTCCAGTTTCCAACAAGGAAGAAAATGTAGCAGGGGTGCTATTCAGCAGGTTCTGACAGGTTCTGGAGAACCGGTAACGGAAATTTTGAGTAGTTTAGAGAACATGCAAATATGACCTCCGGCTGGCCCCGGAGTGGGGTGGGAATGGAGATTTTGCAATATCTTTTCCCCAGCAATAGAGAGCGAATGGGGATTTTGCAGTATCCTTTTCCTGCCATGCCCACCAAGCCTCACCATGCTTACCAAGCCATGCCCACAGAACCGGTAGTAAAAAAAATTTGAATTCCACCACTGAAATGCAATCTGGATTTGCTAACGCCATCAGCCAAAAAGGGTGTCCAAGTTGAAGCTGACAGTGGTTTTGCATTTTGCCTAGAAGACACATCACAAAAGTCTGCAGTTGCTTTTTAAAATGAGGATTAAATCCAGTCAACATCTTTTCTGTTGTCCCTCAGTAGTGATCAGTAGGAAAAATTCTCTGAACAATATCTGCACCCGTTTGTTGTCTCAATTCTCATGTTTTCTTTTTGCTATAGTTTTCCTAATATTGATTTTAGAATGGAATTGGGAACTGTCTTAGCCTATTATTGGTCAAAGGCTTGTGTGATCAGCTTTGCTTAAACTGAAGCAACATCTAGAATCCCTTAGAGTTTGATATATGTACTTAAGCAACTGTTGCTTTCTCCTTCCACTCAGTCCTGGCTGAGAGCGCTATTGGAACCAGTCCCTGATACTTACTGGCTATGCTGGCAGAAAGTGTGTGTGTGTGTGGGGGGGATTTTATACCAAGCCAATCATAGAACCTGAAGCTCTTGGAACAAACAAAACAATTTTAGAACAAAATCAGGGTGGTTTTTTTCTTTCTTTCTGAGATGAAGACAAACTTTTGGAACATGGCTGCAGTTTCAGATTTGATTCAGGACAAATTTTTGATATTGAAATGTTTTAAACTTAGTGTTTTACACAACTCCATGAGAAGAAAGTATTAGAGACGCTGAAGAAATATTTGTGAGGGGGACAAATAGAGTAGGAATTAATTGGTGCATTAATTCCACTTACCTGAACCCCCTGCCCCCCATAGCAAATAAGTTTATACAGTTTGAAATTTATATGGGAATAATTTAACATATATTTAGAAATATGACATAAGAAATTCGGATTTACAAGATCCTTAAGGCCAGCATTCTTTGAAAAGATTCCCTCATGTAGAAAATAAGCAAAAGTTAATCAGAAAATTCTGTTCTATCCTCTCTGGCTTGAACTGGAATTACACATTTTTAACAGCACATAAGTTAATTAGTGTTTTGTTAGAACCAATACTGATTTGTTCCTAGGCACAGTAATTATGTTGCAAGTGTATCATTATCACTGTCACATTTTTTTTTCTTCCTGGCCTTGCTTCTCTCTGCTATTCACTCCCACCAACAAAATTTGTGTGCTCACTGCCTTGTAATTTAGGGTTACATATCAGGCGTCTGATGAATGCAATTTCAGAATATAATTCCAACCATAAATGTCAGTCTTCCAGGTACAACAGAACTTTTTGCTGCAGCAAATTTGGTCATTCTGTTCACTTGGAAATTCACATTTTGATAAAAGTATTAGTAAAATCATTATTTAATGGTGAATTTTTAAATAGGTAAATGAGCTAATGGATAGATAAGATATGGATAATAGGCTAGACTGAGAAACCAAAGCCATATGAGATCTTAAAACTACTATCATTGGAACAGCCATAATAGAACTTTGCAAATTTGAATGTGTTTCTCCTCTCCTCTCCTTCCCTTTATCTTTGTATGAACTAGGGAGAGGCCTGAATCATTTACCCACCTTACCTTCTTGACCTGGGCTCAGGCAACTTTAATCTGACTGTTGCCTTGGTAGCAGCTCTGTCTCTCTCTTGTCCATCAAGGCCATTCCCTCTTCCCTCCACAAATGGAGAATTACCCCATAGCAAGTGGCTGCACTTAAGTGACCTTGGCTGAATTGGAAAAAAATAAATGGGATGGCTATTGGACTAATTAATACTTGGCTACAGCAAAATCCCAAGGCTATGAGCTACATCAGGAAGGTAAAAACAAAGCAGCATCCTGGAAGAAGGCAATGGCACTTCTGTATTGCTCCCCAAAAAAACCCTATATGGACCTATTTGTGCAGTTTACCAGGAGTTGACTCAAATGTCTTTATATCAAGTTTTACCTTATTTTAAACTGGATCAGTTTAAACTCTAAGCTGTACACTGTTCTAGAAGTGAATCTGTAGGATTCCGAGTAGTTTTCCCTATTCTGTTGTCTTGAAATGTTACATAGCATAAGTCAGGTTGTGATCTGGTGTTCTGCAATGTAACTTTCTCAAGTTACTCCCATCCAGAAATGGTGATTCTTCCACTGCTAACTGAGAGCAAACATAATTTCTGCTTGGGGGAGAAGGCAAAATGTTCATCGCAGTATCAAGCAAAAGCTGAATTACATACGCACATCAGCCATCAAGTTGCAACTACACAGAGTGGACCTTGTGGTATAACCTCTTCTTGTGTATGAGCGTCATTCTGATGCGGTTCTGGGCTGCTGCCAACGTCTCTGAAGGGGGGGGGGAGTCCATTTTGCCAGCAAGACAATTGGATTTGTGGGACATATCTACAGCTGGAAGACTTATCTGGGCAAAATGAAGATCCCAGCATTTTAAGTTATTATATTAACTTATTTCTGAATAAAAACTAATTTAATGTGAGGAAGGGCCTAGATCAAATAGGGAATAGAATGTGATGGAAACACTGCAGGCTGACAGAAAAGGCTATACTACTTTCAGTTGTGAATGAGAATGTCATATTCTGATTACTGTATTCTTTTACATCGGGGTTTCCTAACTTTGGCAACTTTAAGATACACGGACTTCAACTTCCAGAATTCCCCAGCCAGCCATGCTTTAGATTGTTGGCATGGGATCATATTTTTTCTTATTACTCCATTATGTGGGTTTTTTTTTAAAGTATAGAAGTAAAAACTGAAAAAGAGGACTTGCACCTTTCCTCACACACACACACACACACCCCGATATTCAAGGATATTTGGATTTCTAAAAGGAAGCTTTTGTAAACAAACTCCCCTTTGCTTCATTAGGGTTTTATACAAGCACTGACAGGATGTGACTAGCGGTGGGATTCAGCCGGTTCAGGCAAACCGGTAGTTAAATTGCTGGCTGGCCCCACCCCTCCCCATCCCACCCCTTCCAGGAGTCCCCCCGCATCCCATTTTGGCTCACAGGTAAGTGCAGGGAGGCCTACTACACCCAAAATGGGGAATGAGGGGGCGGTGCATCCTCCCTGTGGCCCATTTTTGCTCCCAGGGGGGTGCAGGAGGCCGAGTGCTGCCTGTCACACAACCTGGCCACGCTCACCATGGCCACGCCCACCCAACCGGTCATTAGGGCAGAGAACAGGTTGTTAAATTATTTGAATCCCACCACTGGATGTGACCCAGGCTTAGATAGAGGCAGAGGACTTTGAAGGGTGGCTATGGAATAATGCTTCCTCCAGCCTGTGAGAACTGCGCTGCTGATCTCTTCCTCTTTTGCTGTTCTTCTTCCTCAGCGTTGTAAGGACCGCCTAAACTCCCTAGCCATTTCAGTGATGAACCAGTGGCCAGGGGTGAAGCTCCGGGTGACAGAAGGTTGGGATGAAGATGGACACCACTCAGAGGAGTCCCTGCACTATGAAGGCCGTGCTGTTGACATCACCACCTCTGACCGGGACCGCAACAAGTATGGGATGCTCGCACGCCTGGCTGTGGAGGCTGGTTTTGACTGGGTTTACTATGAATCCAAGGCTCACATTCACTGTTCCGTTAAATCAGGTGAGGCACTATTTTGAGAACAGCATAAAAGGCAACAGGGGTGATAATGGGGTCACGGAGGAAGCAAGAGACACAAAGATAAGAAAGATAGAAGAATCTGATAGGTGTGTAGAATTTCGGGCGAAAGGAATGGATGGTGCTTACCACATCCCCCCCCCCTTTTTTTTGCCTTTCTTGCTGCATCAGCAGTACCAGTGTGATCCCACACATCTGCTGTGTGTAGTTTCCAAGGACTCTGTCCTCATAGCTGATGGCATTGAGGCTGCCGATGGAACTGATCGGAAGAAATTCCTTGATTCTGGACCAAGGACTTTTCCTTTCCAAAACAATACGATAGGTGAGGTGGGATAATTAACAAGAAATGCCATCCCATTTCTGTTTATGGTAAGGCAGTATAGGATGTAAGCCCGGCTTTGTATGAGGATTTTAGACAATCTTTGTTTGGCATGGTTCCCCCTCAGTGTCTTCTCCACTGGGCCAGAGTAAGAACTCCCACCTATGTTCAGGTGCGTATGCTAATGCTGCAGGAAAGGTTGTTTTACAAAAGGTTATTTCTCTTATCTCGCTTACTCTCCACCAAGCAGCTAGTATTTTTGTGTGTGTGTATGATGTAAGACCAGAAGAATAGATTCTGTCCAGCAGAAGGCATCTCTGAACCATGGCCCAGTCCTAAGGCCTATGTTGTCTGTTGGGATTATGTGCTGTGGGGTTCCCGCTGGTGGCCAGAGTACCATGCTTTGACTGTGGCCTCTTGTTCCTGTCCTTTGACCATTAGCATGACCTACGGGTGTCCCTCCGGCCCTTTCCAGACCCACAGGCTCTGTCGCTGATGGGAACGAAGTGCCTTTGCCCGGGCTTGATCTTACAGTGCTTGGCCCAGCAGCCAAATCTCCATCAATTGACTGCAAGCATATCCAGAGTGAACGGCGCTGGAGAAAGAGACTGGGCCAGGCAGAGTGGAGCACAGCCCCTCCCTTCTGGTATTAGGATGGACAATGCTGCCTTGTAGACCACTGGATGGAGCTTTGCCAGCCAAGTGTCAAGAAACTTTGTCCAACACCTTCTCCCCCTTGGATTTTGGGTATCCAAAGCCTTGATATCAGCAGAACTGCTGTGGATATATTCATAATTTGAGTTGTTGCACTGGATATCGTGGCCTGTCTGTTGCCAAGCTGGGATCCTGGACTGCTGGTAGATCACTGCAGGTGATTTCCCCAGATCATATATTTAAAATACTTCCTCTATGCTCTGTGGGCAAAAATAGGCAAAGCAATTTCGCTTTATCTTCTTAATGCTGTGCACACTGTTGGGATACTCTGCCTGTTTCTGGATGCTCACGTTTCTAAATGGATGTTCCAATATTACAAATTATTCAAAGACAGAAAAATTCTCATGATAGTGGACAACTGGAGGAGAAGAATTTTGCAGGGATAAAGAACTGGTGACTGAAGAGAGAGAATCCAGTTTCTGCTAGTAGGGAGAACCGACACTTGAGAACAGACAATCTTAAAAGAGGTCTTCATCCAGGATTTCAGGCAGATGGAGGTTAGAAAACCTAGTTGGCAGTACAGATAGGATACCTTAGCCCTGAGCTGTTTAGAAGGTTTGTATAGAAACTATAATGATAAGTAATGGGCTGAATGGCAATTGGATTTTTGTGTTTAATCAGATAACTTTTACGTGACTGGTAATGCTGTGTATCCTGGATATCTGGCCTGATAACAGCTGCTAAACATCTGTATCAGTTCTGTAATCTGGCTTATCTGTCTCTCCATCTCTTCTCTTGCTTGGACTCTGTAATTATCTATGCAATGCTGAAAAACAAAACTGAACAGTTTAATTGTTTTAATATTCTTTGTAGCACAACATGTGCTTGGTTCTGGTACGGACGAAACTTATTTTCTCAGTACAATGAATTTCTAGAACAAACTTAGAAATTTTTCACATAGAAGAGTTATTGCCAATTTAATCTTAAATCAATCTACTTTCAAATGAATGTTAATTTATTACAGCCAAATATATATATTTGATTTCTCATCCATGGTTACTGTTATGAATAGCATTCATCAGCTGCTAGTGTGCAGCTCTCTGTAATCTCCCACCTGGAGAGCATTGGGATTCCTGAATTACACGTCTATCTATACTTCTCTGTTCCATTTATGGTCAAATAAGATCAAATAATAGCGGAATAGCCTTTTTCCTGTAGCAGCTATGTGCAGAATACAGTGAGATATACCACGGCTTGTCTAAAGAAGGCAGATTGGTCTTGGCACACAGGCAATACAATCATGTTTAAGTTGGAACAACAAAGTTATGCAGAAAAATTACAATCGAATTATACCTGCCATATGCTGTTCTTCTATGCCATCATTTATTTCTGTGCAATCACATACAGTAAATAGGAGAAATCAATACACAAATCAGAGGTGGTATTCAGCCGGTTTGGACCGGTTTGCCCGAGCCAGTTCGGACCGGTTCACCCGAACTGGTAGCAGAAATTGTGGGTGGGCCCGCTCCGCCGCCCCGGCTCTATGCCATCCTATTTAGGCACGTTTTTTAGTCCGGGAATGCATGGGAGGCGCATGTGCCAGCAAAGTGCATCCGCAGAAGGCCATGTGCATGCATGGACGCTCGCTCACCCACATTTGCAAACCGGTAGGGAAAGTAAGTGAATACCACCCCGACATAAATCTCTCTGATCTCTTCTCTGAGAATGAAGAGGTGCTTGCAGAGAAAAAGGATGTTTCCTCTTTTAAGCCAAGACTTGAAGAAACTATGTCTGGAGTGCAATGGTTGCTAGATAGGAAATACAGACCATGGCTTGCTGTCTGGTCTGCTCTTCCCTTATTCTCCCTCCTACAGCAATACAGGCCTTTAAGAGACAAAGGCAAGTAAGGATGTGCTTCCTTGACCAAGTATTTGGAGAACAGTAAGTTTGTTGATCTTTCGAGTAAAGGATGGATTTCCTTATCTTGTCACTGGGTTCTATGGGCCAGAGAAGTGGTTCTTCACTTTTCTTTTTTTTTTTCCCTTCAGGAAAAAAAAATACTTTGAGTATATTTGCACAATGATGAATTTGGAGAAGTGATGCAGGGTGCTTGCCAAAGAGATCTCGACTCAGTGATGTACCCTGTCATACAAGTTGTACTTGCTGAAATTCTCTCTTCCTTACAGCTATTAAGAGAGAGAACACTCTTGTTCCATTTTGAACTTGTTATTGCCATAAGAACTTTTCCCCCAGAAAGCTAATTGGGAGGAATAGGGATAAAAGATGCTGTCAAGTATTATGACCAAACAACATGTTATAAAATTCTTTGGAAAGTTTGGGAGCAATTATTTTTTTTTTAAATTAATACAGATTAATACTATACTCATTAGCAGCATAGAATTAGAATGGCTGAAGCGGATTGCACCCCTGCCTCTTAAATTGGGCAAAAGGAGTTTCCCTCTTTGGCATAACTATTAATGGATTCCCCTTCGTACAGCACCATCCAAGTGGAACTTTGGATGTGTCAGTCGTTCCAGACTGAGAAACAAACCCAACCTTCATGCGTTGCTTCAAAACTTTTTTTTTAAAATAGAAAATGTTAGTTTATTCAAAAAAGGTTAAAATACGAAACACCAAAATCTTTAAAAACAACAACAAAAGAAAAAACAACAACAAAAAAGACTAACAAAAAAAAGTGTCTTAAAGAAACTAACACATATACTACGCCTAACATCATCCCTCGTTGAAGGCCGATTAGTATAATACATCAATGTTGGTTTCTCACCCCTAGCGTAACAGGCTAAAAGAATTTCAAACAGTTAAATTACTAAATCTACTTACAAATTGTTAGCCTGTCATTTATGAACTAGGAAAACCAATAATAATAAATTTATTATGTAAAAGTCAAAGAATAATAGAAACTGTAAACAGTAATAAGAAAAAACCAAAGTTGAAATTCTAAAACCCTCTGTTAACAAGCTGTTATTGTGATCAACTCATAAAATATTTATCATGGCTTCAGTCTCCAATCATCCCAAATATTAACCTTAATTGATCCTGGTTCAAATATCCACATTTACTTCTTTATACCAACTCTTATCAATTGCTGATCGATTAAATACAAGTCAAGTCTCTGAAGCCAATCTATCTTCTCCACAAAAAACAGATATAATTGTTCCTTAATTAGAAACATTAATGTATAAAGTCCATTTTCCCCTCTCCATAAAACCCCTTTAAAAAAAAAAACATATACAACTCATCCACCCAGAGAATTGTCTGCTATTATATATAAGCAATGTTAAGCTTCCAGAAGGTGTGTGGAGTTGGCTCTATGATTTCAGAGTCTATATTTCTTCCTGGCCTGATTACAGCTGGAGAAACCACATTTCTTCTCGATGTTCTCCACCGTCTGTGTTATTTCTGTGTCTTTATTTCTTCCTGACGAATCTGCTGCAGATGGCTTCCAAACTGTTTAATTGGATAACCATGGAGAACAGCTTTCTCCTCTACCACAGCAGCAAGATATTTATTTATATAACGGTCCTATTTATCCAATATATAGGGAGCCCAGAGACCCTCCCACTCCACTCTATTCCCATGAATTTTTATGCCTGCCTTTGAGTTCCCCTCTTTCTAATAACCAGACTGCCACTCTTTCTCTCTTTTTGTTCAGAGCATTCAGCAGCAGCAAAGACGGGAGGATGTTTTCCAGCCCGAGCCCTGGCAACTCTAGAGAGTGGGACCAAGATTCCATTGTGGGCACTTAAGCCCGGGCAGCGGGTCCAAGCCATGGATGCGCAAGGCCACCTCATCTACAGTGAGTTCCTGGCATTTCTGGATAAGGCAGTGACATCACGGACCTCTTTCCACGTCGTTGAGACCCAGGACCCACCCCGCCGCTTGGCTCTCACAGCAGCACACCTCCTTTTTGTGGGGGAGAATGCAACTGCACCCATGAAGACTATTTTTGCCAGCCTGGTCCAGCCAGGCCAATACGTGCTAGTAACTGAGGGAGGACGGCTGCAGCCGGCCAGGATAGCGGCTGTCTCCTTGCAGGTGGATGTTGGTGCCTATGCTCCCCTCACCAGCCATGGGACTCTGGTGGTGGATGAAGTGGTGGCCTCTTGTTTTGCTCTGGTGCGTGACCATCACTTGGCTCAGTGGGCTTTCTGGCCCTTGCGACTGTATCACCACTGGGCAGGGTGTGACTGGGCCCAGCCAGAAGGTGTGCACTGGTACTCTGTCCTGCTTTACCGCCTGGGCCAAATGTTCCTAGCTTCAGATAGCTTCCACCAATTGGCCACAGTGCAGTTTGAGAGCTGAGTGAATGTTTTCCATTGCCGCTGAGACAGGGAGAAACCCAGTGGCCTCCACTGGTTCTTGAGAGGGATTGCTTGGCAGCCGAAACCCTGATGGGTGGGGGAAAGGAGGTGGGACCTCTGGCTTCCCATCACCTACACCAAGCACAAGAGTGGAAGGAAGGTTTTGGCTTTTGTTTCAGCCTTCTTTGTGCTGTTGGCTACAGAAGGGAGTGCCCAGCAATGGGGCCATATGCTGCTATTTTGGTTGAAGAGCCTCTTGGTGCAAAAAGGAGAGTGAGCCAGGTGGAAATCCTCAAACCCAGGATGAACGAATGAGGTGGCTGGGAAATTCTGCAACTCTAGATTGCAGATTGAGGAAGTCCCCGTGTGACTGTATATGCAAGGAGGTTCCAGGGAGAGGTTGAGGGTGGGGTTGTGAGACTTCTCCCAAAGGCACCTCCTTTTAGGAACTGTAAGCCTCCTGGCACTGTTTCTTTGAGGCCAAAGCAGCTATACAGGAGACACTCCTGGATTCTCACCCTTGTGAGAAGGATGGAAATGCTTATTTCCAGCTGAAAGTTCACCTGAATCTGGGAGCAATAAGCACAGGAAAGAAGAAGGGCACATCAGTTATGGTGAGGGAACAGGCAACAGAGAGGGAAGATATATAGGATATCATACCATCATCTTTGGATCAGTAGACTATTGGCCTGCAGTGATGAAAGCCCTCTCTTTGTCTTCTGCATTCACTAATGCAAATTAAAAGAATCACTCCACCTAAAAACGTGCACTGAAAGAAGGAAGACTACAGGGTGGCATGAGGGGGGGAAAAAGATCTCAGCCTGCTTTAAGAAGCTTGTTCTAGATGGATTCACCAAAAAGCGGTTATTGTAATAATATTATTTAATCACATCACCTATGTTGGCTGGTCTTGAAAAAATCACCAAGAGGAACAAAATTAGAAAACAGAACTGGGAATTCTCTGCTTGTGGAGGGACAGATTAAGAGTCAGGGAGGGAAAATGGATTGTTTGATTTTTCCAAAGTCTTTTATTGATTTTTGAAGGTTCAGGGGGGCAGATATTTCTCAGGAGCTTCGCCTCCTGTCTTCTTGGCATCCTAAAGAGAGGGGTGCAAAGCAGAGGATCTGATATTTGATCTTATGTAAGAAAAAGAAACAGTCCCAAAACCATTTGCAGAGAAGAATTGCTTATTCACTCTGCCAATCCTCTCTTCTTTGCATTAGTTTGATAAATATGGATCTTTCTTTGCCAAGGCAACATGGAAAGCCACCTGTAGGACAGTTGTATGCATTATGTATCAATCATGTTTCTAGAGAGTATGCCTGAGATCAACTCTACTTTGTTTGATGATCATCGACAAAATTATTGTTCTAGATGCATATATGCATTTAAAAAAAACAAACTAGTGAAGTGCTAGGTTTACCTGCAGAAAAATAAAACTGGTTGGTTTATCATCTAATGCAACTTACTAGAAAATAGCTTTCAGCTGTACAGGAAAAGCATTAGTGGCTCGCTCTCTCTCTCTCTCTCTCTCTCTCTCTCTCTCTCTCTCTCTCTCTCTCTCTCTCTCTCTCTCTCTCTCTCTGGATCAGTTTTTTGGTTAAGTGGTAATGGATTTTTTTAGAAGTAAGTTTTCTGGTACACCCAGCATTTCCCACATTAAGTTAAATCCATGTTGGAAATTGTCACAAGTGAAAACCAGGTCCAGATCTCCCAGTTTAAATCTCTCTTTGAGGATATTATGCTGCAGTGACATCTTTACAGCAGCAATTGGTCCTCGTCCACCTTCGATTCGGACAACTAGCATTTTGCTTCTATGTAGCTATCAGCACAGCCTATTTAACTAGCCACCAAGAATAAGTTTCTTTTTGCCCACAGTGGGACTCCTCATGCCTCTCCACCTTCATTCTCAATTCTGACCCTCCTGGGGAGGTAATAGTTGAAAAGGAATCTTTGCTCTTCACATTCCATTTATTTATTTCCCTGCTCTTTGCAAAATGCTCAGAATTCTGTGATTGGTAAAACTTTCTGCTAAAAGAGACCAAAGGGTGGGCGGGGGTGGGTGGGGATTGGTTGGGGTAATTGTTTCTAATAAAAGTATTTAAGGATTATTTCAGAAAAGCACAGTTTTTTTATGTGATCTTGGGCAGGGTGTGAGGGAAGTGTAAGCATTTTGTCTTTTCACTGGATGTAAATTTCCCAAATGGATGAGAAGTCCAATAAATTTCTTGACTCACACTGGATGTCTTGTGATTGCCTGTGACTAAAAAGACAGCATGGCCCTGGACAAACACATATCCAGCACAAAAGGCAGGATCCAACTGGGCTGTGGGATTGAAATGGGGAGGAGGAGAAACAAAACCAGCCAGTTCTTAAGTCTTAAGCCAATTCATGCAATAATTAAATTGTGGTGCCTATTTCTGATTGCTGCTTCTAGGATCCTATAGGATCTTTACCTAAGATAACAGAGGTTGTATGTTTATATGCATATCTACACATCAAAGGGCTGAATGGCCTGCTCACTCCATTCCACTCCTTTTTGGAAGAAAATTGTAACAACTACCAGGAGAATATACGCAAATGTAGTATGTGCTGGGACAAATGCCCCATGGTTTGGTTAAGAAGACATCTTTAAACAAGTACAACGCATCACATTACACTAAGCCACAGTTTGAACCACGATGTCTGGAATAAACCATAATGGTTAGATTCAAATATGCTAAATCATAAACCATGATTTTACAAACCAGAATGTATGGGTTTGTAGAAAACTAATTCATGGATTAGCAAAATGTAGTAACCTGCTTTTAGAATATTTTCAGATGAAATTTGTTATATACAGTAATTTATGGAATTTCGCTATGGAATCAGCATGGAGAAAAATAAATATTTTCTAAAGTCTGAACAACACAGCTGTGATTTCATATGGCTTGTTCCCATTATTTCCTCATTGCCACAAGAAATCCATTAGGGAGAAAATAAGGACCAGATAACTATACAATCTCTTTTGAGAACTATGTTAGGCACCTTCAGTCTGGAAACATCCTTAACTGAATTAGCTTCTCTTGGTGGGTTTTATACCTTTTGAATCAGTCATTAGCTGGGTTCATGTATTGCATTAAGCCCTGGCTGGCTGAGAAATTCTGGGAGTTGAAGTCCAAAGGTTTAAAGTAGCCAAGTTTGGAGACCTCTGCACTAAATCAAAACCAAATCACATTTTGGCTCAACAGCCCTCACTAGGTCTCTTTGTTCCACTAACCTTTAATGCAAAATAGAATCTAGATCAGCCTAAAATCTTCCTAAGTCATCTTGATCAATGTTAACTTTCTAGCTTTGGTATGAAATTTCCATCCCTTTTAGTTTCCATTGCGACAACATTCAGCCTGATGAAGAGCTCTGAGCATCTTACAGAATTGCTGTTCGCTTTGGGACTTTATGGTTCACCCTAATAAAGAAATTGCCTTTGTATGAATGTCTGCGGGTTTTCTTTATGGCCCTGTTCAGCTGCTTTGATTTTTACACTATCATGTTGTTTTTGTACCCACCCGTGTTTACCTTCTTATAATCTCACATTGACTTAGAATGTCTCCCATTCAGCAAATGAAAAAGAATTTGCTCTAGCAAGGGAGCAGCAGATTTCTTTCTAAAGCTATTTGTGTGTGCCCATGGGGCGGATGGAGACCAATAATCTTGCACATCTGGAGGGTCAAGTGAAGGCTGGCTGTACTGTTCTTCCTAGCACTGCCATAGCAGGAAGTCCAGTGTTGGAAATCCAAGAATACCACCTGGTGGCTAAAAAAGGAAAACTGTCCAGTGTTGATTCCTGGGATGCATTTTTATTAATTTCCCCCCAACATTTCCAATTTATTCCAATAGCTACTTGTTCCAAAGAGTGTTTCAATCTTGCACTACCTACTCCAGCATTTTAGGGAAACTATATACCAATGTGATCAATTGGCACACTTAACTGCTGGAATAAACAATGGGGTTTTGTTTGTTTACAAAAAGAATGGTGGCTACGGACTCTAATGCATTTGTAATTTGGTCATAGTCCATAGACATGTTAGTGAAGTGAGTGCTAGGGTGAACAAGGTCTCTTCTTCTGATACTAAATGTATAAATGCAGAATCGGTGTGATCTTTAGTGAATAGATTGTTTATTCTCTGCCGATGCAACATTTTGTGTACAAGGGTTTCTTAAAAAAAAAAGAAAAGCAATTAATTTTTCAGATGTATGGATTATTTAGATAAATAGGACTATTGGGAATGGAGACAGGGGAGTGACTTCATGATAAAAAGCTACAGTATTCCAAATCCATAATGTATCAATCAGCAAAAGTTAGAGGCTGTTTAATATGACTTATCTAATTGAGTGGCAATTTAGGAAATTGCCTTATGCCAAGTCCAAATACTTGGGCAAAAGGTTTTTTTTTTCTTCCATTATTAAATGAATAAGGTATTTTATTGATTCTGGGATTTTCTGCAGACTATGGTTTTGTAGTTCTACTAATTCCTCCTCATAATGCATCTGCTCTTTCCCTACTTAAGATAAAGTCCAGTAAAGAAAAATCTCCTTTGCCACTAGTTGGAGACACAAAATAAATAATATTTTCAAATATTTGTCACTGTGGTTACATTGACTCACTGGAGAAAAGCATAATGCTGGGAAAAATTGAGGGCAAAAGAAGAAGGGGACGACAGAGAATGAGGTGGCTGGATGGAGTCACTGAAGCAGTAGGCGTGAGCTTAAATGGACTCCAGAGGATGGTAGAGGACAGGAAGGCCTGGAGGAACATTGTCCATGGGGTCACGATGGGCTGGACATGACTTCGCAACTAACAAACAAAATACATTGTTCATATTTATTTATTTTATTAAATTTGTTTACCACCTGTGTTGCTGCAAGGTGACTCTGGGCAGTTAATAGTCAGCATTTTGCATTTGGTCTGACGGATGATCATTTGTGCAGGCCAAAATTATAGTTTTTTTTCTTCAAATCTCTATTTCTGAATGTACAGGAAAAATTTACTACACCCACAAATATACAGACTTTCACTCATTAGAAAGAAATAGAATTTATGGTGATTTATTTGCAGCAGTGCTCAAAAGTAACAAGCTCAGCACTTTTCTTTTTCACTGTAGAGAGCAGAAAACAATCACAATTTGTCTTCTTTTGTGGCAAGAAGAGATTTCTCCATTTCTAGAAACAGGGAAGAGATAAGGAGTAACTTGGAGATTAAAGCCTAGAAAAGGTTGGATATAGGTTGGCCTGAAGAAGAAATAATTATCTCTTATCTTTGAAAGGGTTCAAAGAAAGGATTTTTCTGCTCTTCCAAAAGATAAGAATCCACATTAATATGAAGGTTTTCTATCAAATAATAGGGAAAATGTATATCCTTGAAGGTAGCATTCTTTCCTTCATCAACTTTTTTCAATAGAGATGCTGACTACTATCTCTCAAATGTGCTAGAAGGATGTTTTGCAGTAGCCAAAGATGAAACTGGGCTACATTTATAGCCATCTTTATTTTCCAGTTTTATAAAAATTTAAAATTAAGCCTTTCTATTATTGTCATGAAGCTTGAGAAAGAGTAGCTCAATTTCATATAGTTATCCATTGCTTTCCTACACTCCTTTAACTTTACATGTTTTTAATATCTTCATTCTTTCTTTTTTTAAAAAATGGAAATAAATTTGGAAGCTCCAATTTTATTCAACACTTTGCTCAAAATGTTAAATTTTGATAAACTAAGATGTTCCGGAGATACTGCTCACTTGTGAATTAATATATGATATGTTTCTGGTTAGCTGCATTGATGAATAGTGACTTAAGAAGACTTTCGTTGACAGAATGTTATAAATTATTTTTAATGTACAGATTTTTTTTTAAAAAAATTCAGTGAATAAGTGATTAAACGAGACTTGATTGGCAAGAAGAAACTTAGTAGAATGATGGCTTTGAGATGAAACATGAGAATGTCTAGGTTAAATTGGCATACATAGATTAGGAGCAAAATTCTTCTAAATACAGAAGTATTTAGTATCAAAGTATTGCCTCTACCTTCTAACAGGGACTGCCAATTAATTTCTTTATCTTGGAAATATTCCATAAAGGGTCAGCAGAGGGTGCTACATATCAGCAGATACTTCCAAGAAAAATAACTTTAATTATACTGCTGGAGGATGCCTCCCTCCTCTTCCCACACAGCTGGTTAAACCAAATGTTCCATTTTAGGAATATGCCTTCCCTGCATGGAAACTAGGCATTTGGAACTGGTTCAAAGACTCAGTCAAGAGGATGTACAAAAACGATGCTTCAATATGGAGTGATTTTGCTTATGCAAATAGGGTAGATCAACATGAGTATCATTCAAAAATAACAATCTAATAAATTAGTTGGAGTGCTATTCTTAGGGCAGTGGTACTTGCCACATGCTCCCTGTTGCTAGCTGCTAGCCACAAAGGAGCTGCTGGAAAAAGATTCACAGCTAAGGAGAATGGCATTCAGAGACATGATGGTGCACTATGAATTTAGAATTTAACAAGCCTGTTCCTCCTCTCCTAGCAATTCCTCTGGGAATAAACTTCAAGGAAGAAATTGATTGTGTATTAATTGTTCAGCCCGAAAGTTATATTTCCTGTGAGCTTAAAAAATATTTCAGCTTATTTATATTATCTTACTACTGTGAAATCCTAAACAATGAGGAAAGCCACCAATTATGGGAGAAGATGGCCATGGATTAGCTTTGACAGAGGCATGATAGCATATCAGCTCCTTTCAAAAACAAACAACTCAGACCCCAGGTTCTTATTATCATATGTGGTAGACTTGTATGAAAGCAAAAAAATACATATTTGGTTGGAAAAGATAATTAAGCAACTTATAGAGTTGAAACCAGAAATATTTTTGTTGGATATAATGCCGGAGGGTTATGATAAAGGGACTATATCTTTCGTTTTGCAAGTACTGACAGCAGCAAGGATTGTATTTGCACAATATTGGAAAAATGAGAACACTCCATCAGATGAGGATGTAATTCGGAAAATATT